ATAATTGGTACCATTGTGGAATATCTATAAAGGGAAAAAAAAAAGAAAAACAAAGCCTTTACAAGAATCCTGCAAAAAGATGAAGAGTTCACCAAAATATTTTTTTTTCATGAATGACTTCATGAACAAAGACAGACAGAAAGGAATAGGGCAGTGGAGAAGAAAAAAAAAAAGGCTGCCATTGGTGTACGTTATGAATGTATCTGTACCTAAAGAACCCTCAGAGAACCTTTCCGTCCAATAAGACAGTCAGCTTACATGAATTCTAATATCCTTCTTACCATCAGCATTAACAGGACTGGGAAGTTTGAAGATGTGAAATGAAATTAGGTGCCTAAAGTCCACATAGGGTGTAGAGGCATGCACATCTTCACAGTAAGTGGTAGGTCACTAGAATTTGTATGTCTAAATCCTCAGAGCTCTTTGAAGCTAGGCTATAATGGGGAACTGCCTGTATGGTTTGGTTGGTGCTAGTCAATGATGGATGAAATCAGTATGCCACCCTGAGCAATGTTGTCCATAAAGGCTGATGTGAAATCAGATGTATATCCCTGTCTAGAACCTCTGAAGACTTCTGTGTAGCTGTGCTGTTTTTTCTCGAGTAGTAGTGAGATTGCAGGTCCAGTGTATCAGATGCACCATAGTACAGCATTCAGATCTCAAGTTCTGCTAAAAAGCAAAGCTGAGCAGAATATATGGTAATTAAATGAAATTTCCTTTTGGTCTTTTTGGTCTTAAAGCTCATGCATATCTTTTTGGTTTGGGGAATCGGACAACAAACTGTTTCTAGCTTCACATCTTGTCACATCAGATGTTGGTTTTGCTGAAATTACAGGTGGAAAAGAAAACACAAGGGAATTTATCGGGCTGGGAATGATCACAGAACATACCTCCAACATAATACAACTTTGTTTATCTAATAACTGGCTCTAGATTGTTGTGATTATATTTTGTTGAAGGCAGTTATTACATCATGTCATGCTGCAATATTATCCCCAATCCTGATCCACTGACTTAGGGTGACAACTAGTCATCACTTCGGAATTAGGCTAGCTCCCAGGTTGAATTTCATTATGACACTAGATTACCGATGTTAAAATAGCTTTCAGTTGACAAGGTAGCATGAGAGCTAACAAGACCCTATTTTTAATGAGAGCAGTACTTACCATTCAGAAAGAGACTCTAGCAATGCATTATGTCCTTTCACTTTGTAGCTGAGTTGTTTTATCATAGACAAAACATTTTAAAACAATTCGGACTTCATTTGCAGAGACTGTTATTGTCTATCTTGCATCCTAAATTTACAAATAATGTTTAAAAATGAAAACTAGCTTCAGCGTTATGCATTGACTGGAAGCCCACCATTTAAGCTTATATAGAGCACGTAATGGTTTGAAATAGCAATCTTCTCTCCCTCTTTTCAGTAGCTCAGTGTGCCTTAGATCTTACCCTTTCCAACTACCTCGTAAGCAGAACCGAACAGGCTTCCTGAGACCCTCTGGCTAATAAATGAAAGCTGTATAAAAATGTGCTTGCACCATAAGACATACCCAGGACATATTCTGTCATATAAATGAATCACCACTTAAAATTAGGAAAAATTATTTCCAGCATTAACACTGCTCATGACAGCCTATTTTGGCAGCAAAAAAATTCACAAGATATATATTTTAAAACACTGCACAGCTCTGTCTTATATAGATTCTCCTCTCCCACCCTAGTACTTGAGTGCCTTCCAGAAGCACATTAAGCAACATGACTAATGTCTGTCTCATCTTCGTTCTTTTACTTTTAGCTGAAATATTACATTATTTTTCAAAAGCTACCTGCAAGTTGATGAAATATCATCTTTGCAATGAACATAAAATCTTTAAATTACGGTGAAGACCATGGAAAAATTCAACCTTTGCAGAAGCAAGTACAGTTTCTTCTCATGTAACTGGACAAGTACCCAGTTATGCCAGGACACAGTTTATGTACATAAGCATCCCAAAGCAGGCTACCTTCTTGATGTATGGAAGATTTGCAGGCTAAAAAAGCAAGTGATCCTTCACAGCAGCATTCATTTTGCTGGACGGGAGTTGATTGAGAATTTTTCTAATTAGTACAACAAGGGAGATCTCTTTCTGGAACTAAAAAGGTATCCAATTTTGTAGTTGTTGCTGCTTTATTATCCTGATACTGCATAGGGTTACTGATGCAGATAACTCTCTTAAACTAACTGTCTTTTGTATCAAAGCGTACGGAAGACTAATGGTCTAACTTTTTAATGGCATAATAACTTACTCTAAGCAATAGCTCTCAGACTAGAGACCTATGAGAAGACTGAAAATTAAATAAACGTACTGCTATTTAGAGGACATTAGCTCTCCTACAGAATGCGTATGTATGGTGTCACTTTTGGACTAGCATGAAATTTAAGCTTGTGGAGTTACTGATAATGTTTGTACTGCAGCATAAATAAAGATTGCAACTAGCATGGACCACATTGTGCTAGTTGCTGTACGAACACAGAATAAATGTCTACCCCTCCCTGAAAAGTCTGATTGGCTTCCAACAAACTGACTGTGAGATTGCTAAATAATACCCCCGCACAAAGCAATAGTAGGCTAACAATCTCAGACAAGAGGAGCTGTCAGCAAACTTGGTTATGCTTTGCTATGACCGACTTATGCAATGGCACGTTCTTTTAAGATAAATAGTGGGATTCCCAGTATAGCTATGGATTGGGAGGAGCCAGCATGTGAATTGCTTACAGCAGCCCCCCAGCACATAAAGCTTTATGGGAGAGAAGTCAAGGGGCCTGGACTCACTGCTTTCGTGATTGTCTTTCCCAGTTGTCATTCAGTTGCACTGGTCTGAAAGCCTGGCTTCAACCTTAAAATAAATTTTAATTTGAGCTCCAAGTTCTCTACCATCTTTTTGCCTTCGAGACTGTATGACTAGAGAGCTAGATGTATTCAGCAGTACATCCAGTGTCCATTATTTCTTAGAAGAAGAAATGCTGAATGTATAAAATAGTAATCAGGATGATTCAGACATCAAGGATGCCACCAAGTCAGGGTTAGCAGTGAAAAACAGATTTGGCAGAATTAGTGGATAATTTGGAAAAACAACAAAGATGACTGTATGTTGTGGACCTCAAGTTATTCTATTTGGCAACAAAGAATTACAAGGGTTTCTCTTTGGTTGTGCGTTTTGTGGTTTGGTTTTTTGTTTGTTTGGGGGTTTTGGGGGGTTTGGGGTTTTTTTTTGCTTTTCCCTACATAAACTATTTGGCAAAAGCATATTCTTTTCCAGATGGAGTGCATTCCATATGAAAGGCTGTGGTTTTAATGACAGTTTAGACATTGATACATTTATTATAATATATTTTCCTTTTAATAAATGCTTTGATGTAGCGAGTTCTCAATGTTCTGTGTATACATTTTCATGATAACCCCTTTGCAGTTATCTGGGAGATCAAAGACTGCAGCTCTGCACAATTTCTGCCAAAAAGAAGAGGCTCTTTTCTTACGGAGTCCTTGTAGACTGGTCAACAGTGTTCAGTGGATTCTGCTTTCAGCTCATCACAGTTGCAAATCCTCAAATTTAGTGTAGATTTTTTCTTACATAGTCTTAGTTGCCATCCTGTCTTTAGCATTGCGGTGGTTCTGCATTTTTATGAGTCACTGTAGGTGCAGCAGGGCCCTATGGTAAAAGAGTATTCACATTATAGCATTAGCCAAGACTGTGAGAAGTCAGCACGTCCCTGCAGTTAGCACATGCAGATGTGTCTATGGGCAATGACTGCATATGTAGAATCTGATATCCCAGAGTTGGCTGCATGATGACTCCCGCATAAGTGTGAATCATTTAATTGCAGCAAATATATGTGTTTTGCCAGAGGTGTTGCCATCTCTGCCTTGCTGTCTGCAGTGCCCCATTTACAGGCCACAGCAGCCACTGAATTCTTTTCCAAAGGAGGTTTAAGAAGGCTGACAAGTAGACCCTGTAGGAAGATGGGATCTTCTAAAAACCAGGAGAAGCTATGCCTGCTTTTGTCAGATGTGTTTAAAGAGCTACTGTACATGCTTAGTGATTTCTTGGGAAAACCTAAGCATCATATGGCAGTTAAAGGATCTTAACAGAAGAGATTATTACGTATTTCCACTGTATCCCATGGGCTTGGTTTCCAGTAAGAATAAATTCCACAGGCCAAAATTTAGAAATAGGTTATGGTTTGGGCCTGAGTAGATAAAAGGCACAGAAGCAGTAAAGTCTGAAATGCTTTCAAAAAAATGTAAGGTCTGCTGTTCCAAACCCAATGACTAGCACAAACTGGAATTAGTAGGCTGGCTGTGACATGATCAGTGGAGGGTTCTAGTACTGTTCGTCAGTAGAGCAGCAAATTATTGAAAATCCTAACGTTTTCTTAGTATTACCTAGACACATAATACTTTTAAGAGGGATTCAGCTCATTTCCACTCAGGTCTCCTTCAAGTTCTCTTCAAGAATATTTGCAAATAAGTTTTCAGATTTATTTCCATGGTGTTCTTCTACATTGTAAGAACTTCAGCAAAGTGGAACTTACCATTATCTAGCTATTCTAAAATCATTAAATTTTCAGTTAAATCATCATATTAATGACTTTACTTTTAACTTAGAAGATTTACTATACTGGCTATGGAGGATATTGCAAGGGACAGGGATTGCTGTGTTCAGATAGTATGTGAAGAAGAAGTGAAACTACCTCACTGAAGCTCTTTTAAATGGGTCTTTCATGTTCAGCATTATAGGTTCTACATCCTTCTACCTTGTTGGGGAATTCAGGTTATACTCTATTTTTCTTTACTTCTAAATAAAGCCATTTCCTATCCAAATAGATTAATTTCACTAGTAAAATGCCATGGTACCAACAAAATAAGACAAACTTTAGTAATGGTAACATAGGAATGCAGTCAGAAAACCCTTTGTACCTTACTAATATATCCGTTAACACCTTCTTGTTTTCCCTGCAGAATTTTTCCGAGAACTTCTGGAGAATGCAGAAAGATCCTTAAACGACATGTTTGTCCGGACGTACGGCATGCTGTACATGCAGAACTCGGAGGTGTTCCAGGACCTCTTCACAGAGCTGAAGAGATATTACACAGGAGGCAATGTGAACTTGGAGGAAATGCTGAATGATTTCTGGGCTCGGCTGCTGGAGCGGATGTTCCAGCTCATAAACCCCCAGTACCATTTCACTGAGGACTACCTGGAGTGTGTAAGCAAGTACACAGACCAGCTGAAGCCGTTTGGAGATGTACCCAGGAAGCTGAAGGTTCAAGTGACTAGAGCTTTCATTGCTGCACGGACCTTTGTTCAGGGGCTGACAGTAGGCAGAGAAGTTGCAAACAGAGTATCCAAGGTAATCTAAAATGAGGGGTTGTTTAAGCTTGGATTTTTTTCAGACTTGCTAGACAACTGAAATGTGATTGTGCACTTTTTTTTTTCAGGGGGAGCGGTGGGCGGGTTGGTTGGTTGGTTGGTTGTTTTTTTACGTCTACTGATATACCCATCCTAAGTTTACAAATAGGGGCAACAGTTGGTTTTAATTCCTTCTGGAGATATTAAGGCAATACTGACTGGAAAGCATTTCTCTGTGCTTAGGACACAATGAAATACCAATATATATCAATGTTATAGCATGGTAGTGATTGTCATTAGCAATTCAAAACTGGCTACGTATATAAAAGATGATGATTATGATCAGAATTTAAATGTTTCAAGCAAATTTATGCTGCTGTTCATTAGGGCAGTACAGCCCTCACAGCATTCATTCATCATGCAACTGGGTGATGGATTTTGTTAGAGATGTCTAGTCATGTTTTTGATGAGAAAATAGACGAATAGTGACACCTCTGGAGCTTGAGCTTTCCCAAAGGACAGTTTGACTCACATTTATTTTAGTTTTAATTATTTATCTATGCAAATATTTATGACGATTATAATCCTTGAGGGCTTAACATAATTAAAGCTATGTAAGAAAAAAACACACACAAAAATAACCCATCTGGGTACCAGAAATGTGCCTGAATGACTTTCTCTTATACAGCATTTCAAACTTGGGTATATTTTTCTGAATTGCTGTTCTGGCTAGATACTTGTTCTGCAATCTGGCTATTTCACAATCCTCGTAGTGTATTTGGACCTTAACTATATTCTGAATTCTGAAATGCTCTAGTGAGATCCACTTGAAATGCCCAAATACTCGCTTCTGAACAATAAGTACAAGCATGATTTTGATGCTTGCCCCATGCAATACTTTCCTGCATTTACAAGCCTAAGCCATTCCTTTTCCTCAAGAGGACTGGCTCACTTGCTTCATTCAAATCACAGCCAGAAGGTGAGGTAGAGCTGATATATTGTACAGCGCTCAACAAGATGAGGCTTCTAAACTTTTTTTATCCTGTATGATGTGGTACTTTGTAATTACGAATTCAGAAGCCATGAAGCCAGAGAGGTAGTCATCAAGTGAGAGCCTGATTTTATGCCTAGGAGACTGCGTGGGAGGAAAGGGTCATTTTGCACTTAAAAGTTGGTGAATGAAATACATGATCCTGGTTACTCAACTAGAACTAAGGTCTCTTCCTCCAAGCGCCTTCCTGGGCTACAGGGTTGCTTTCCCTTTTTTTCTGGCACTGTCAATTCTTGCAGTCCTTTCTGAATAGCGGCAGGGCATTGGCATGAAATCCCAGCCCGCCTAGTCTGGCTGGGGGCAGATACGGCTGTTTAGCCTCCAAGTGTGCAGAAAGCATATATCTGCAGCCCCAGATTTCCTCTGAAGAGCAGTGATGTCCCTGTGGGTCAGGTTTTAAGTGTAAATGCTGAGCTCTGATGTCACTGTTGTCAGTAGGCATTAGGTCTTGCTGCATTGACTGGATCAGGCTGTAGGGAGTAAGCTGTGTAATTCATGTAATAGATGTGCAATTTGCAAATCCCAAACAGATTAAGGTATGAATTGTCTGCTGAGATGTCACATTCCCTGTGTATGTATGTGACTGTACAGAATGTGCAGGTGTCTCCCCTCTCACGTACCCAGGAAATGTTTTCATCTTGCCTGCTGGGTTTTGGGCACATAAGCCCTTTCAAGAACAGGGTTTATCACAGGATTGCTAAATGATCCTATGATCCTATAATGAGAACTACTAGCTCTGTAATCATAGTGAGCCTTTTTCTAGTGTCACTTGAAGATGATAACAATAGCTCAATAATGCTTCTGTTTTGTTCTTTTGACATGAAAGCAACACTTAAAAAAATCTTTAAAAGTGGTTGGTGCAAGATACAGTATAGATTCTTTGCTTTATATATACATAAATAGTGATGCTCTATTACACTACATCTAGAATACTGTGTTCAGTTTTGGGCTCTTCCCATACAAGAAAGACATTGACAAACTGAAGTGAGTTCAGTGGAGGCCACCAGCATGATCAGGACTGGATTACTTGCCCGGTGAGGAAAGGCTGTGGAACTGGGGCTTGTTCAGCTAGGAGAAGACGTGACTTCAGGGACACCTAGCAGGAGCTCCTGGTGCCTGTAGGAAGGTCATCAAGGAGATGCAGCAAAGCTCTTCACAGCGGGGCATGGTGGGATATGATGGGCATGAGTTGAAACAAAGGCCAGTTCAGACTGGATATAAGGAGAAGCTTCACCATGAGGATGATCAAGCAGTGGATCAGTTGCTCAGAGAGCCTGCACAGGCTCCATCTATGGAGGTCCTGATTGCACGAAGCCCTTAGAGATGACCAGGTCATGCTGGTCTGAGTTCAGAGCTGACTCTGCTTTGAGAAGCAGGTTGGACTGGAGATCTCCTGAGTGCCTTTCCAACTCATTATCATGGAATCATAGAATGGTTTGGGTTGGAAGGCACCCTTAAAGGTCATCTAGTCCAACCCCCCTGCAGTGAGCAGGGACATCTTTAACTAGATCAGGTTGCTCAGAGCCCCGTCCAACCTGACCTTGAATGTTTCCAGGGATGGGGCATCTACCACCTCTCTGGGCAACCTGTTCCAGTGTTTCACCACCCTCATTGTAAAGAATTTCTTCCTTATATCTAGTCTAAATCTACCCTCTTCTAATTTAAAACCATCACCCCTTGTCCTATCACAACAGGCCCTACTAACAAGTCTGTCCCCATCTTTCTTATAAGCCCCCTTTCAGTACTGAAATGCTGCAATCAGGTCTCCCTGGAGCCTTCTCTTCTCCAGGCTGAACAACCCCAACTGTCTCAGCCTGTCTTCATAGGCAAGGTATTCCATCCCTCTGACCGTTTTTGTGTCCCTCCTCTGGACCCGCTCCAACAGGTCCATGTCTCTCCTGTGCTGAGGACCCCAGAGCTGGACGCAGTACTGCAGGTGGGGACTCACCAGAGCAGAGTAGAGGGGGAGAATGACCTCCCTCAACCTGCTGGCCATGCTTGTTTAGGATCATTATCCTATGATCCTATTAAAATATTAATGAAATTAACATTTTTACTTAAATGTAGAATATGCTTTGATTGCAACACTGACTTGGGTATTAAAATCTCAGTGGCTATATTTGTATCCACGGTAAATGGTAAACAATTGCTGGTTTTAGGGACTTTGCGTCATATGCAGCCTGGTGAGGCAGATGCGAAGAACCCCAAGTGACACCAAATGTTCAAGATAAGTAAATATCCTGTGGAAAGGCTGTGATTACTCTGAGATCCAAGCTTTCTTGATCGTGTGATAACTGTGGCTTTTTATGCTGGTCTATCTACTGTAGAAAATGATAAATCCTTTTCTTTAAACATCATTTTAAAAGACTGCAACCATTCTTTAGAGTTAGCACATAACTTTGCAACCAAAAAAGAGGCAGGTAAATATTTTTTATTACTGTTTTGGAAGTCATCCAGATTCAGCACGTATTTCATTTTCTTTGTACTCTAATACTGAGAGATTCTGTGATAAGAATGCCACATCTGGGCAAGTCAAGAGAAATGAAAAAAGGAGCAAATTAAAAGAAGAACTGTTGCAGTTCTTTTACAGAAATCTTTGTCCGTTGTCTGCATTGACTAGGAACAGGGGGGGATCTCCTAGCTGCAACATCAGAAGCTAAAAAGATTTTTTGCTTTCTATTTGTGGACCCATTATCTCAGTGAACTGCTACTATCAAAGGCCACTCACATAGAAAAATGTTAAGCCTACACCTTAAACACCATGAGAAAGAGATTTATTAATGAGAAGGTTGGTAACAACATCTCCTTTGGGCCTTCAGTTTACTTTCTCAGCCTCTTCTGGCCCATTTCTCTAAAGGAGTTGGTGGGTCACACCCTCAGAAGGATTTGTTCCCTATCTAATGTGAGGGACACATCTTTTCTGAAGATTTCTCTTCAGAGAGGGTATAATGTTGGTGCTGACTGAAAACAATGCAGTTAGTGTGTTCCTTGCAAAGGAGCTATACTCCCCTCTTTTTCCAATGAAGTATGCACTCACGCACACTCAAAATAGGCAACACATCGCAAACATTTTCCTCTTACAATATTATTTTGCAATTTGCTTATGTCAGTGTGATTATAATTTAGATAAGTCCCATTTAGATAAATGGGGAGGGAGTGTGGTTAGGACATGTCTTTTTTTTGTAATTTTCTCTAATATATTTCAGTTGTAAGCAGACATAGTTGCATTGCATCTATCTCAAGTTGTGCAGTTTTACTGGAACAATATTTTCATAATCTCAAAGTTCCATTGCACTTTTAAATTTTCAGATATTTTAAAATCTTTTTATTTCTCATACTAATGCATTAAAAATTTGTCAGTCTATGTTGCTAAGAGCTTGTTAAATCTCCACTGAATGAAGTATATTTCCACTGGCTTGAGTAGACTTCAGCTCACTAAATCCTATATATGCTTTGTAAAGCTGGGTATGCATATGAGCAAAAAGTAATTACAGTATTTCTTAAAGTGAGAAAAATGAAACCTATTTATTCATTAATATAGAAGAATCGTACAATACCTCAAGTTGGAAGGGACCCATAGGGATCACTCAGTCCAACTCCCTGCTCCTTGCAGGACTAACTAAAACTAAACTGTGTGACTAAAAGCATCGTCCAGATGCTCCTTGAACTCTGACAGGCTTGGTGCTGTGACCACTTCCCCAGGGAGCCTGTTCCAGTGGCCAACCACCCTCTCGATTAAGAACCTTTTCCTAATGTTCAATCTGAACTTCCCCTGATGCAGCTTCAGTATGTAATATTCAATATATACCATAAGAACTGCCATTTTGGGCACACCAGAGGTCTGTTAGTTGATTTTTACCTCAATGCCCAGCAGTTTAAAGGTCAGTACAGGAGCAGAGCTTCTCATCTAGTATACTTTCTTAAGCTATAACTAGTAGATGTTTATGGAC